TATTAGCTCAGTGCTACACATTCTCCTCTCGTCACTGAGGTCCTCCATCCACATGACAGAGAGGGGAACACAAAACCTTCTCCTCTCTGTCAACGCTCTCTGGTTTCATTTAAAAGAGTCGATCATCAGATATTGTCCAAGATTAACCTTCAGGGTGGATATAGCTCGCTAGCAGCCTCGCACGATGACCTAGTTGATGTCATCATTTACCCAGAATGCTTTGTGTGTAAATAAAATGGCTCCATCCGCGTTAAAATATATTTAAAAAAATTACAAAACTAAACAGCCTACAGTATTTTTACAGCCTTTATTTTACGGTTAAAATATATGTTTATCAAATAAAGTCTAATGTTACAACTAGTCCGGGATCCCTTGAAGGATCAGCACTGAGCCCCTGAGACTAGCTATGCAAATATGATTTTGAGACAGTGGCATTAATGAAAAAAACAGGAGACAGAACTGGAAGTGTTGGAGCTGAAGATGTTGAGGTTCTCCTGGGGAGTGACAAGGATGATTCGGACTGAGAGGTACAGCACAGGCAGATAAAGTTAGAGAGGCCAGACTGAGATGGTTTGGACATGTCCAGACGAGGGACAGTGGGTAAATTAGTAGAAGGATGTTAGTGATGCAGCTGCCAGGAAAAAGACAACGAGAAGATACAGTATATGGACACAGTTATCGAGCACATGGACGTAGTTGTGGTGAGAACAGGATGCAGAGGACAGAGTAAGGTGGAGGAGGATGACTCACTGTGGTGACCCCCGAAGAAAGAACAGTCAAATTAAAAATATTCTACATTTGTCCTATTTGTTTACCTATACAGACTAAAGCCAGCCTAATGTAGGTCAGTCACATGACTCAAGCTTCAAGCAACATTTTTTTCCTCCCACACATCAGATTTAAAAACAGTAGCACTTCTGTCTTCAGGTAAACAACAAAATTAGGACGGTATGGTTCTGTTTACAGTCCATAAAAGATAAGTGTCAAGTCTAAACATACACTCATCACTGAGACAGTAATTAGGAGTTAATGATTTGTTTAAAGCCCTGTAATAGTTATTTAAACAGACTTCAAGCTATTTATTTATTGTAATATTCATGCAGAATTATCTCTTTTTGCAGTACAGGATATGTGACAGCTGGCCCAGCATGATTTCATCCTTCCAACGCAGCAATTAAAATAAAAATGCTCACACACGCAACACACACACAAACACAAACTTGTTTTTATATCCTTGTGGGGCCCGTCCATTGACTTCCATTCATTTTTTTGGTAATTTTATATCCTAACCCTGACCACAAACCCTAAAGCTAACCTCACAGGTACCTACCTACCTGACCCTAAAACTAACATAAAATCAATTCACAACTTGGTCCTAAACCCAACCCCCCCACCCAAAATCAGCCTCTGAAGTTGTAGGGCCCAGGCTTTGGGCTCCACAAGGAGCACCCGGTCCCCACAAGGCTGCGTTTTCCTTAAAACTGGGCCCCAAAATGTAGGAAAAACAAGGCCACACACACGCACACAGAAACATGACTAATGAGAACTTTGTGTGATGTGCAGAGTACTTAACAATATCTTATGTGAATACAAGTCGAATTTTGGTAAAGTCAGGGAAAAAGCAACACAAATGCCTTTTTATGTTGAATATGTTTTGGTTTAATTTTTCTGTGGATGTCATTGTTTTTTTTTTTTTTTTTGGCCTGTACTTAGTTTTTCATTATGCTATATATAAAAATGTTTTAGACATAGTTGAAAGCACAAATACTGAACGTAATAACCAAACGTTTTTGTGTCTGTCACCCAGGTCTCTGTGATCCTAACATTAATGGTTCCGTACACTGAAATCGATGCCGACGCTCCACTGATGGAAATGTTTGCCGTGCACGGCTGCATGTTTGCAAAATACATTGTTGCTGTTGGATCTATAGCTGGACTCACTGTCTCTCTGCTGGGGTCCCTGTTCCCCATGCCCAGGGTCATCTATGCCATGGCAGGAGACGGCCTGCTCTTTAAGTAGGTCTATAGTTCTGTTTGCTTACACAGCAGTATAAATGATATACGTCATGTAACAGAGTCTCTGTTTACTCATCCTTTTGTATTCAGGTTCCTGGCCCATGTGTCCTCGTACACAGAGACCCCTGCTGTCGCCTGTGTGGTGTCAGGCTTTCTGGCAGCCCTCCTGTCCCTTCTGGTCAGCCTCAGAGACCTCATAGAGATGATGTCTATAGGAACTTTGCTGGCTTATACTCTAGTAAGTGATGAACAGAGAGCAAACAGTATACACGGGGGTGGTTTCTCACTATTCTATAAAATGGGCAGGGGAGGATTATAGAGATAGATTAGTGTCAAAAAGATTTGACTGCACACAACATTTAAGTAAGCACCACAAGGTTCAAGTCAGCACATCATGATTCAAATGAGCGCGTGGAATTTGCGTAACCCAGTAATGCCTATGTAAGAGAAAGTGGTTGAATATAGGTTATGAGCTATTCTGACAAGTCAAAAATGTATTTTTGTCAATCCAGTAAATGTGGTAAGGCTCAAATGTCACTTTATATCATATGTCTTTATATCAGTGCAAACTGAATGCAGTAGTATGTGAATCTGCAGTGGTAAGTAAATCTAAAAAAGATTCACACATGAGCAGAACCTCGTGCTTGTGAGTCTGCAAATTTTGTTACTTGTTCGTTTGAATCTTAATGTGCTCACTTGAATCTTGTTTTGTGTGCACTTGTGCTTGCTCAAATCTTTTTGAGACTAAATTATCTCCATAGAGGATTTAGTTAAAAAAAGAGTAATTTATTTTAACTTATGAAAGGTTACTGACTAAATTACTTCTATTGTTTTTAGAGCTGATTGGACCTATTGTGGTCCTTGTAAGCTATAATATGCTGTGCCAATCACATCTGAGGAGCATTATGCTGCATTATAATTGTCTAAAAACACAATGCTAATGCTACAGTTACAGTCCATCTGGCAAGTCCACTGTGTGCTGTTTGTGTGTGACTGCATACAGAGAAGGTAACTGACATCCAAATGCCAAAACAATTTAGGATACATGTTTACCATCCAGATGTGAACTCTCTGTCAGAGTTGTCCACTTACAATCAAATCACCTAAGACTGATCTACTGTATCTGTGTATAATGCAAAAAATGTAACCCCCAAAACTCATCCATCAATCTGTGGGGTTGTATTATACACAGGGGTAAGTTTTGACAGATTAATTTTTCTAATCCAGTCAAAACTCTGTCTTGCAGACCGTGTCTGTCACAGTGTGTAATTGGTCAGCGCTTTGTGAGCTTGTTTATGCGGAGCAACACACGCTTCTTCTGCATGTCGCTGAAAACGGTCCACTCCCAGAAGCGGATTGTTAAATTAGAGAGATGGACATCATCTGGTCCTATTGAGCACGATAACGTGCAACTGATGTTCATGTCTTCGTTTCATGTGCGCGGATAACAATGAAAAAAAACCTAGATCTTCATCGTCCAATTCCTGAATGTCTTCAAAGTCGTTGGCTAGAACACATCTTCTCATTCTAAACAACATTACTCCTATGATGCTGCTACAAAGCTAAACAATTCATTTAATTACAGCGGGTAAAATAAGTATTGAACACGTCAACATTTTTCTCAGTAAATATATTACTAGAGGTGCTAATG